ATTAATTAGTCGCGATTAATGTTAAAACTAAACTCTAGTGGTATTAATACTAGGTTTTGGTCAAGGAAAAAAAAATGTTTCGAGATAACAAAGTGTTGTTCAAGTACCGAGTCACCAGCTAATCAAGTGAGTGCATAGTTACTTCCAGCTTACACATAGATATGAAGTATTTTATATAAATTACATGTTATGTGTGCATATTATCTGTATACTTGCTATCTATGCTGGATGAACGATATTTTTTTTTAAAAATGATATAAACTGTATGTGTATTTTATATCTACAAAATGTGTTGGGTAAAACGTGGGTAGATGTAATAGTTGTTGTGTGACAAAATAAAATAATGAGAGGCCTCGCTATAGATTTTATTGATGATCCAGTCATCCGATGACGACCACAGACTATTCTAGACCGTCCAGTGGAACGCTAGCAGGCTCGCAACCTGTAGGTGTTTATTTGAACTATGTGTTTATTTGAACTGTGTGCTCACCAGATGTACTCCATCCCCACATGGTTGCCTTAAGGACATTTATTGCTAAGGAATCCCCTTAGTAGTAGTGTCCATCCCGATGATAGTCCTTAGACTAGGTCCCTTGTGTTAGATGTTTTAGGGACGTAAAGTGAGGATAACGGGAACGGGTAATCGGGTTTGTTTGGTTTGATAAAGTTAATAAACTTATTTATTGTGGGTTGAAAACCCTATGTGCTCACCAAGCCCCAAGCCTGACCCACTCAGTTTCTTGTATTACAGGTAGTGGCGCATGAGCATAAATGTGATGTCTTGGGATGAGAGATTAATGGATTTTAGGCCTGTAAATACGGAATAATGTATTAAGGCCTATATTGTATTGTTTATGCTTATGATCTGTATCGAACATGACATCCCGTGTCTTTTTAATGAAATACATTTCTACGAAAATGCTTTTGATAAATCTTTATCATATATTGTTTTGGGACAAATTGCGCAACATTTTTATTTAAAATAATACTCTGATTTTTAAACAAAGCATAAACAAAATCGGTCTTTTCTGGCCATGAAAATGGGGATGTCACAAATTCACAGTCCTCGTCTTTGTTTTTCATATGACTTGATATGTTGAAGATCAAAAGGAGTAGAATGTTAGGAATCCTCTTTATCAAAAAAACAAAAAAAAAAAAAAAATTGAATCCAAACGTATCGGTTTTATTTTAGGTTTGTAATTGTATCATCTTGTTTTTAGAATGTCTTGATTATGCATGGAAATGTTGTTAATATCGATTCCCGTGTATAAATATAAATGTATCACAGGTAGTAGTATCTTTGCATAAACATTGTGAGAGTTTTAATCGGATTGATGGTCGTGTATGTTTAATCCTTCATAGTGCCTGATTGATGGTCATTTGTTTATTTATTTATCTTTTCAATGTGATTTGTAAACAGTTTTTGCACTTGTTCATTATGATTAACCTTACATCATGTCCTGGGATGGTTTTTTTCTAATGATTTTCTACATATAGTTTTGAAAGTTTAACCAAATCTGAATGATCTTATTATGAATTCAAAATCTTGATGTTAATGTGCTACATATTTCATTTATTGTGTTGTGTTGTTACTATCTTCAAGTTTATTTGATTTATGGTTGATCAATTGTTAACCAATATATATGAGCTAATGTAAACACTAATTTGATTGTTAGATTGGCTACGACACACAGTTTTCTATATGTAATGATGATTTGATGTTACAGATGGATGATGAGAACCATGAACATCAACACATTGTTGACATATCTATAGTACTTTCATATGAAGAGAACAACAAGCAAACTATAAGCAAGGTTTGTGGTGGAGCACCATATGGATTATCATACTCAAAAAACACAGTTTATATATATTTTTTCTTGATATTAGGTGTTACAAAATATTTACCATATTCTATTAATGATTGGTTTAGAAATAAGTCTAGCCGATATCAAGCTCAAGTTTCACTAAGTGTGGTGGTGCCATCCAACAACTCTTCCATTAGGTAAATCAGGATAATGGTTCATTTTGGAATTTTCTTGAATTTTGATATTTGTCTAAATCATAGTGTGATTCATATATGAATCATATGTGATGCACATATAAATCACATGTAATTCACGTATGAGTCACATGTAATTCACGTATGAATCACATGAAAATCACAAGTAAATCACATATTATTCACATATGAATTTCATCTGATTCACATTAAAATCAAATGTTATGCACATGTAAATCACATGTTATTCACATATGAATTATATGTAATTCATATATGAATTACATGTAATTCACATATCAATTACATATGATTCACATGTAAATCACACGTGAATCACATATCAATTACATGTGATTCACATGTTAATCACAAGTGAATCACATATGAATTACATGTAAATCACTAGTGAATCACATATGAATTACATCAATATGCACACATGCATTTTAAGTAAGTGGTCTTCGTTAATTTTTTTTTTTATTTTTCTTGTGAATTTCATATTCGAATCTTAAAAGATACAATCACATGTGAATATCACATTATATAATCACATATGAATCTTGTATGATATAATCACATGTGAATCTTACATGATATATACTTGTGCATTTTTCTGAGTGTTTTGCATTAATCATTTTTTTTTTTAATTTTTTGTAGGTTTTGAAGAATTTATTGAAAATATTGAAGAGGTGAAAAGTGATAAATTCATGAAAATATGTAAATCTTGATATGAAGAAGTGATAATATAGTGAATCTTTATAGTTTTTTTATATTTTATTTTGTATCGAATAAAATACATGTATTATGTTTATAGATTGATTAATAAAAATGAGATTTTTTATAATTACTTACGAACATTATACTATAAGAAATATGTATATATGCATTTGAAAAAATATGCATATATGCATTTGAAAAAATATGCATATATGCACCTCAAACGTTAGATTTCTTTGTTAAAAAATGCAGTTTTGAAAAAAAATTGCACTTTTTTATAAAAATCGCAGTTTTTTTTTTTTTTTTTTTGAAAAAAATACAGTTTTTCTGAAAAAAAAAATGCGGTTTTTTTGAAAAAAAAATTATAGTTTTTTTCTAGAAAAAATGCAATTTTTTTTTTAAAATGCAGTTTTTTTTTTTTGGAAAAAAGATGCAGTTTTTTAAAAAAAAAAACATTTTTTTTTGAAAAAAGAATTAAAAAATCTCCATTTTTTTTAAAAAAATCGATTTTTTTTTAAATAAATCCGAAATTTTGAGTTATTTTGTTAGTTTTTAGACATTTATATTAAAATATTAAATAACACACAAAAATTAAACATTAAATGAGATTGGTAAAATGACGATCATGTCCTTAACAAATCACTTTTGATCCAACGCTTCACTTTTAGTTTTCGGGAAACTTTGAGTTTTCAACCGATCTCAACCCTATATATATATATATATATATATATATATATATATATATATATATATATATATATATATATATATATATAGTAGTTTATAACCCGTGAGAACCACGGTTATAAAATTAATTAAACTTTCATATCAAAAAATCAAAATTATTAATTAATTATTTTAAATAAATTATTACTTAAGAGATATTTTTTAGTTATATAAAATTATAATCGTTGATTTAAATAAATACATGAAGCTATATCGTCTTATAATATGTATTAATTTTATTTTATTTTTCAATCTAATTTTATTTTATTTTTCAATCTAATTTTATTAATTTAATCTAAGTATAGTGAAAAAAATTTAAAATTTGAAATTTAAACTTAAGAATCAATTATTAATTTAATGTAATTAGAGTGAAAAATTTTAAAATTTGAAATGGATAATCAATTATTAATTTAAAGTAATTAGATTTAGAATTTAAAATTTAAAATTTAAAATTGATAGGTTGACAAGTGGCATGATAATTGATATATAACATTAATAAGAAATTCTAATTGTATGACATTTGTCAACATGAGATTAAACCTATATATATATATATATATATATATATATATATATATATATATATATATATATATATATATATATATATATATAGAGAGAGAGAGAGAGAGAGAGACAGAGAGAGAGAGAGGTTTCGTTGAGATTACAAATAAAATAGAGATTAAGATTCAACCTCAACCAGGGCATGGAGGTTCGCCTGCAGTGACTCCAGGGCATGAAGCAAAGCTTTATGTTTGCAGCGGGAGATTAGTCGGTGCGCGAAAGCTAGTCCGGAAACCCTCGTTAGGGAAGTTCCCTTTCCAAAAAAAAAGATTCAACCTCAACCATATATTTCAAGTCTGCTGCTTTAACCCTGGTTCCGTTGAGATTACAAATAAAATAGAGATTAAGATTCAACCTCAACCATATATTTCAAGTCTGCCGCTTTAACCCTCGGACGTACCGACGAAGCAGACTTGTTATAATCATAAATGATTATATTGCGTTGTCCGTTCATTTCTCCTCCGCCATCATCACCACCACCACAACCACCACCGCCACCACCTCTAAAACCAACCAACCCGACCACTATCACCTCCATAACTTATACCACGACCACCTCTATCACCACCACTTTTTTTGCCACCAACTATCATAATGATATATGATTACTCAATCTATATATATATATATATATATATATATATATATATATATATATATATATATATATATATATATATATATATATATATATATATATAATCATTTATTATTACGCACACACTGCTGCTCTCGGTGTTGCTGTCGGTACACTGAAGCGTTAGAATGGCAAATAAAAAATATATAACTCAGGTTGAATCTCAAGATCTCATACTTCTTTTTTAATCTTGAGTGGACCATCCCATATATATATATATATATATATATATATATATATATATATATATATATATATATATATATATATATATATGTGTGAGGGTTAATATGAATATGATTAAATATGCCAAACCTATCAAAAAGAATAATAATAAGTAATTATATGTTAATGAGATCTTATCTTAAAACTGAACAGTCAAGCAAATCCTTATTAGTAATACATACAATGTCAAGTAAAAACATGTGGTGGTTCCAACTTGAGAATGTTGAATGGTAATCATAGTACGATATACAACAGTGACACAAAAGTAGAGTTCATGATAGGAATAAATATGTCAAAAGTAGATTATACTCTCCTGAGTAAATCATCACCAGTCTATGCCCAGTTCTCTCGACTGGAAAAGGTTGTCAATATACACAATCAATAGAGTGGATGCAGTTACATAACTTTGCATCTCAGACTTTGCAGAAACTTCTGTAAGTCATAAAAAGAGTGGTTAATAGTCGATAATAAAACAAACAATTATAAAACTCTAAGTGCACATGGACTGTACTAGTCAATACAGGTCAATGATGAAGATGAAGAGGGCATTCACGTCTTTTGCACACACGATAGATATAGAACAAGTAAAAAAAAAAAACCAAGACCTTCTTTTTTCACTAACTTGACTCATTAGTCAAAATGAGAAATCAGAAACGGATATGATACACAAAATCACTTGTACTTTCACCATCTTATCATTATAGTATTTAATTATTTTTCCCCTTGGTTAAACCAAGGCACTTTTTATAACCATTTAGTAAAACCATTTTCCCATGTTAAATGGTATTGATATCATATGAAAATACAAAACACCACAACATACATTCACTATTTTATCGATTTAGCTAATGAAGTGGTTTTTTTATTGGACAAATTGCAAAAAAGTCACTATATTACCACAAAACTTCTAAACCACAATAACTCCTTGTGAATCGGTCAATTGGTTGACATTGCAATAAAATTGTAAATGTAATGACATAATTGAGAAAAAAAACTCGATGTGAAAATCAAAATTTGGTTGTAATATAGTGACTTTCTTGCAATTTGAAACTCGGTGTCAAAATCAAAATTTTGGTAAACTTAGTGATTTTATTGCAATTTGGGAAAAGTGGTTACCGGGAGAACCGGTCATTTGGTTGATATTGCAATAAAATTGTAAATATAGTGACATAATTGCGAAAAAAATAACTTGGTGTGAAAATCTAAAATTTATGGTAATATTAGCGACTTTATTGCAATTTTCCGATTCTTATTAGCAACTAAACTGTTTATTACAATGACATAAAAATTAACTAAAAGTGGCTAAATAGAAAGTAGAAAGAAACTAACCATCTTCATTAAGCTTTTGCAAGAGTTGTGCTTTTGTAGGAAGGGCATACATTCCAGCAGCAACAGCTTTTCTTACAGCCCATCCATGATATGGAGAGAATACTTGTGTATAAGCTTTTGATGCTGGATTCTTTAGAGAATTGTCCCTGGAAAAAGACCAAAAAATATATACTTAGGGCCAAAAAACCACATTAAGTAACACAAGATCCGAGGTTGCTTTTGTCAACTGTTCCCTCACGTTGGTTTGGTGGGGTATCCGTATAGCCCTTTTTTGTGTCACCACATATATGATATATCTATCAGGTTATTTGGAAAGCATTCATGACTTATATAATCTACTTGGGGAAGTGTTCCTGGTTTATAGAAACTACACAATGAAAATCCAAGAGAAAATCACCAGACATGAATTGATTGAGCAAGTGAGTCAGCTAAGTTGTGAAGAAGGGTTTACAAAGGGTGTTTCAAATGGAGAAGGATTGGAAAGGGGAAATTGAATTCAGTACTTATTTGCAACCAAATACCAGAATAGAATAGCAATTCCCACGAATCAAATCTGGCATTTGTTAGTTACTTTCCAATTCAAGACCCATCATCTTCTTTTTCCCTTGACTTTTTTTTAATTCTTCTTAGACCCATTGGAAATCCCTTTGCAAACTGTCTTATTCTTAAGACTCTTCTGTTTTTGGATATCATATTCTTGTCGAATCCGAATTGAAAAAGGATTTCATCACTGGGAGAGGGTTGGGGAAAAGGGAACCTTGAGGTCAATCATGAGGAAGCTAACAAGTGTGTACAGTTGCCAACAGAATTGGAATTCCAAATCCTGTTTGGTGTCGACCATTTGAGGATTTCACCATTGCATCTTAATGATCAAATTTAACAAATCATGGCCAATTTATTCTAAAGTATCATAAACTGATCAAGTAGAAGAAAGACGACGTACTCTGAAACTAGAATCTCCTCAAACAATACTCTAACCATATCCAAACCGCGTTTCACTCTCAAAAGATTCCTCGTGTGACTACCGGGCTTCCTCACACAATTTTCTTCAATATCCTTTTCCATCATCGATTGCAAGGTCGAAATTGACTTTGAAGTCTCACAAAGATCATTCACCTGTTCAAACAAAGAAAACATCCAAAACCCAAAGTAAAAATTCTAAATAACCTAATTCTACTGATCGTGATGCAAAGTGACAATATCATACGATTGGATTATAATATCATAAACACAGGAAATACAATCCAAAGATTCAAAACCCCACATTTTCACATAAGCATAGAAGGATGAACATAAGCCATGTATGTGAGTGATCGTACCTTGGCGACATAGTCCATTTCAGCGAACTTGAATGCAATACCCAGGCATCGGAACAGAGGGGAAACAAGAGAACAGGCGCTGGAGAAAGGGGCTAGCTCCAGTTGTTGAGTGTTCTGGTTTTGGGAGTTAATACAGTTGGCGATCTCCTCGAATGCCTCTGAAATCTTTCTCAGAGGCTTAGCGCCGTTGGCTGAATCCATCGGGAAAAGACGCACCTCCTCTCTGTGCGCCGTACTTTACCACTTGGTTTTTGCAAGAAGTGCATATATATATATATATATATATATATATATATATATATATATATATATATATATATATATATATATATATATATATATATATATATTTAGGGAATATGACTTGATTAATTAACTTTTCGGTACGTTCACATTTGTATATATGTAGGTAACAAACTTTTTGGAAGTGTTCACATATGACCATTATGACCTGCTATAGCAGGTTAAATCCTAGATGTGAACGATTTCAACAAGTTTGTTACCTAGATGTGTAAAAAAAAAATAGTTACCCAAATATGAACAAAACGAAAAGTAAAAAATAAATTACATGAATGGTCCCTGTGGTTTGGGGGAATTTGTAGTTTTGGTCGCTAACTTATTTTTTTAGCTTAAATGATCCTTATTGTTTATTTTTGTTGCGCGTTTGGTCCCCGTCTTACCTAAAAATACTATTGTGCCCTTATTAGTTTATTTTTTTTAATTAATTTTCTTATCTATGTATTTATTTTTTATATATTTATAAAAATTAATAGATCACACATATTTATATCTCCTCGGATGATCCCTACTATTTATTTTTTAATTAATTTAATTTTTTTAACTCGGATGGTCCCTACTATTTAATTTTGTTACGAACTTGGTCTCTGTCTTACCTAAAAAGACTATTGTCCCCTTATTAATTTTTTTTAATTAGTTTTCTTGTTTATGTACTTATGCTTTATATGTTTAAGAAAAATTAGTAGACCTCACATATCTGTATCTCCTCACCATCCCATCTTTCATCATTCTCAACTTCTATTTTATTTTTCATCTTTAGTGATATCGACGTCTTCATCATCACTTCTTTTTTCGGTCCTTCAACTCCGTCGAATCAACACCACAACCCACTAAAGATGAAGAGACAGTAGGTTATAATGTTGGTTCGTCAGAGTTGAAGTACCAAAAAAAAAGACCGTGAAGACGTCGATGTTACTAAAGATGGAAAAGAAATAGAAGATTGAGAGGATCAGAGATGAGATGGTGAATGGTAAGACTCAAATTAAATTTCTCAAATGTGGTTTCAGGTTTACGGTGATGAGATACGTATATGTGGGGTATATTAATTTTTTTTATAAAAAATAAATACATAAATAAGAAAATTAATTAAAAAAATTAATAAGGGAAAAATACTATTTTTAGATAACACAGAGATCAAACGCGTAACAAAAATAACAGTAAAGATCATCCGAGTTAAAAAAAATAATTAATTAAAAATAAACAGTAAAGATCATCCGAGTAGATACAAATATATGTGGTCTATTAATTTTTTTAAATATGTAAAAAATAAATACATAGATAATAAAATTAATTTAAAAAATAAATTAATAAGGGCACAATAGTATTTTTAGGTAACACGGGGACCAAACGCGCAACAAAAATAAACAGTAGGGACCATTTAAGTTAAAAATATAAATTAGCGACCAAAACCACAAAGTCCCCCAAACCACAGGGACCATTCATGTAATTTAATTTTTAATTTTCGTTTTGTTCATATTTGGGTAACTATTTTTTTTTGTCCACATCTAGGTAACAAACTTGTTGAAAGCGTTCACATCTAGGATTTAACCTGCTATAGCAGGTCATAATGATCATATGTGAACACTTCCAAAAAGTTTGTTACCTAGATATATATACAAAAAAAAAATAATTACCCAGATGTGAACATAACGAAAAGTTAATTACCTTGATAAGTCATATTCCCTTTTTTTTAATGTATATTATGATTTATTTAAAGAGAAATCAAATATGTCTTAATTTTTCCTCCATAAAATTGTAAAAATGGTCAAAAGAAATTTATTAGTATTTAGTTGGCGGTTTTGTTATGCTTTAAAAAGAAATTTATTACATCGTTTAATTTAACAGCTTAGTTATTAATTTTTTTGAAAATGATTGTTTTACCCCTAAAACTATTTTTGTAGTTTTATCTTTTTATTAAACTATAATGATTATTTCTAAAAATTTTCTTTTTTATTTTATTGAATTATTATTTCTTTATTAAGTTATTTCTTGTTGTATTAGATTATTATAGATTAATAAATAATGTTTTCAATATATTATATTTATATATTAATAAGTATTAATTTATTTGATTATTAGATTTTTTAATTAATTATTTTTTTAATTTCTTTTTTATTGGATTAATTTTTTTATTGGTTTATTATATATTAATAAATATTATTTTTAACATATAGTGGTCATGAGTCGAGTGATATTTAAACAAGATATAACTTAGTCCTAAACACATTATAACCTGACTTTTATAGTGTTCTATCAACGATTTACAATAGAGATTTACTAAAATAAACAAATAATCGTAGATTTTCAATTGTGAGAATTAGTAATACTTGTAACGAATATGTATAGTGTTGTAGGGCCATAAAATACTTCTATAGTATTTTAACTTTATGTTTGGTTCTAGAGTGTTTCTTGTATATAGTGTTGGTAAGTTTTAGACTTGTTGCAACACCACGGTCACTCCCAAACATATGTTGATCGTATCTCGAATAAATATAGTTGATCATGCTATATTTATCCCAGATATGATTACATAACTATCCAGGTTTAACTACAGTGTTCAACATTTAAATATTTTTATGTAGATCTTACTGTGATACTATTTCTAATGTGTATGTATATTCGTATACTTCTTGTAAAATACTTATATTTTAAAAGTATACTTCTAATTCAAAGCGCTTCGGCCCTATAGTGTTTATAGTTGTATATCTTGTAAGGTTTGATATACTTAGTTCACTATAAACAATGCTCTGATATTAATCTGACACACCCCCAAACCAGAACGGTGGAAACGTTCGGGGGCGGAGGACGTCATGTACAGTATCACAACAATTGTATAATAGTAATCAAAGAAAACACAACCATTACATTGATAAAATATAGTATTTACATATGTTCATAGCATAGTTTGTATGACATCAAAAGTGTATAACAAAATGTATAAAATTCGCGACTATATAAAGTTCCGCCTTCTCAAAATCATGTGGGTGTACATGTCTACTAGTTCCATGAGAATACAAGTGATTTTGAAAGTGTATCAACATTTGAGTTGGTGAGTTCATAAGTATGTTTATGAGATGGAAAACTTGTTTTGGTTCCTTGAAAATGTTAGTGTTCTTCTAGAGAATCAATTATTTTCTTTAGTGAATGAAACGTAGTCTTTGACATTAAGACTAAAATGTATTATGAAATAGTGAACTGTACTTTGAAATAGTGAGTTGTACTTTGAAGTAGTAAACCATAGTCTGTATTAGTAAAATGTATCCTTATTAATAAATAAAACTACGACGTGAATGTTTCTTGAATTTGTATGTTGAAAAACCCTTTGTATGAATGCCTGGAATCCACCAGTTGTAGTGTAAAGTAGTATACTGTAGTTTCATTATTTAAAATAGAACCTTTGAAGTAGGGTAAATCCCATAAAATAATACTTTAGCTGATACTATTGTGAGTTTCATTAACCATGCTTGATATGACTAGTGGCCTCTACGATGTTCTTCAGGCGTCAGAATGTTATAACATTTGTCACCCCCTGCCGGCCTAACAGTAGCTAGCAACTCAGATGTGGGATTGTCAGTCACGTATAGATCTATACACAAATGCATGCTCTCCCTCCAGGAGACTCTGGTTATAATTTATAGGACTTGGACCTGTACTCTGATAAGTAAAATGAAGTAGTGTCTCACAATCCTGTATTAACTAGTTTACGTGTAGTGTATTAGTGTTCTATTGTACTTGAAACTGTATGTATTATCTTGTAGTAGTGTCCTTTGTAATGTAAAGTAATTATAATTAAATTATTATTTTATTAGTGTATCTTTGGATTAATGAAATAGAGTAGTGTTCCATAAACTATACATATTATAGTTTATATACTTGTTTTATGTATTGTTCTTGAATTTGTAAAATAGTGTAGTGATTCTCAAAGTATACCCATTATAGTTTATTTGTATACTCTTGTATTGTCGTTTGAACTTAGTAATATAGTGTAGCGATCTACAAACTATACCAATTATAGTTTAATTGTATACTCTGTAATGAACTAAAAACCTTTGCAATTTGTCAGTAGGTGTAAAATAGTGATAAAAGATTTGTATAAAATTTCTATTTGCTTTGCATGTTAAAAAAGGTGTAATCAATATGTTTTGTACTCACATATAATCCTAAAATATAATCAGGAGTAAAAAGGCAATCGAATAAGTAATTCTATCCTAAATCCACAACCAAACAAGGAACAGGATTTAGGGCGGAATTGCCAATTCTAAGTCTGTTGAACTTATTTATATAAAAATATATGTGAGTATGTTTTGTTAGAAATGTAGCAGTAATCAGTTTGAAACAATTGCAATGATTTGGAAATGGTTTGAAATCATTTGAATATTATCACAAGAGTTCTTGTATTTTACTTGTATCCTCTCCCTAAAAACATTGAAAATAGTGAAAATGTAGGGGCATGAACTCACCTCTAGTGTGTTCGAGCTTGGATAGTGAAATTTAAGACCTGAGGCTACATTCTTGCAAAGATTTTTCTCAAGTAGCGTAGGTGATCAGTCGTTGTTGCTACTTGAAAAATATGCACAGCCTTTATACTTTTTGTTTTTGCAATACAAAATTCTGGATAGTTTTTTCAAAATGCAAATTATATTATTTCTAGAAGGAAAGAAAGACATGATACAATAGACTCTGAATGTCTAAGTGTCAAGGCATGTGCCTAGTCTTTGCTTTTGCATCTGAAGTATGGCTATCCTGTGCGGAGTTGGGCCATACTTCTTGTTGGGCGGTGACGTCTTTTCTACACTTGATGTAGGTGGGTCTTCATAGGTTGGGGCTTCCTCTCATTTCCCCTAGAGAAGCCTGACACGGGGGAGTTACGTTTTGTTTCTCATACCCTGGGGGTGCTCTTGACTGTCTTTCTTAGTGACCCGATGAGTGTTGCGGTCGTGGCGCTCTTCTATGGG